CCAAGCAGCCTCCATGTCTCCAGTGTCTTTTTCCCCACTTGGAGCCGAACCCAGAAGGACATTTCTTTCATCAGTATGATGTAAACAATAAAAGTTCCCTTCTGCAACAAAAAATGATGACAATGTCAGGAAGAAGCCAAATCAAAAGATGATACTAAGCACCCAGTGACAGCCTTCATTCATCAATGGGAAAGGTATACTTTTGAGGACTCCTGGCAATTACGTGAACTAGTTCCTGCAGTTTTCTTGGCAAGATTTTGGAAGTGATTTGCTATTGCCTCTTTCCTAGGACTGAGAGAAAGTCACCCAGATGGTGACTAGAACTCAGACTCTGGATTTCTAGCCTGATGCCTTAACCATTATATCAAATTGGCTCTTAATTAATAGGAAGCTCAGAGTATTTAATGTTGCAATTCACATCCATCTGGAAAAAAAAGCATTGATCTTTGATTAAGTGCTGTCAAGGTGTTAACAGGATGATCTATCCTCATCCTGGGCTTTTTGGTCTCTCAGTTGTGCATTAATTGTTTTTTTAATCAAGCACATTCAGTTTGCTGTTCATTATCCTCTTCTATTTCATTCTACCTTTTCCAGATTCACAGATTTTTTTTATTTGATATATTTTGCTTTTTTTTTGTCATCTCAAGGCAGCATGCATACTCCATACTCCCATGTGTTATTTTTCTCACAACAACCCTGTCGCTGACATCGTAACTGTCTCAAAGTCACTCTGCTGGCTTTCATGTCTAAGAGAGGACTAGAACTCACAATCTCCTAGCTTCTAACCCTTTCTTTCAGGATACTTGATTCCCTGCATTATGTCCACGACATTATCTCTAAGGCGCATTTGACTTCTTATCAAGGCCACATTTTTGTAATTTTCTTTACAATAGTACAGAAGATGTTTATAACTTTCTTCTGGGATATTTTTTCTACTTCAGTTTAACCTACAGGGCTTGTTATTTGTGCTAATCTCCCATCCAAATATAACCAAGAGTGCTCCTTCTTAGTTTTTAGAGGTCAGCCATCACCAACCAAGTGCTACCACCTGGGTAGGGGCAGAGAAGTGTCAGTAAAGGTATGAAAGAAATGAAAGCACATGATGAAGACAAAGCTACAAGTTCCACTCTGGTCCATGCATCATGCTGCTGCATGGACCAGAAAATTGCATGGACCAGCACGGAGAGAGTGAAGCTTACAGTGAAATGCATGATGCCATTTTCATTAATTTAACTAAAATGTAAGATCAAGATTGACTCGGCCTTCCATCCTTCTGAGATGAGTAAACTGGAAGTTTTAAAGAAGAGATTGGATAACTATTTGTCTGATGTGGTGTAGGGTTTCCTGCCTAAACGGGGTTAGACTAGAAGACCTCCAAGGTCCCTTCCAACTCTGTAATACTATTCTATTCTAAAATAAGGACCCAGATTGTTGGGAGAAATACACTTACTCTGTAAACCGCTTACAGAGGGCTGTAAAGCAATATGAAGTGGTATAGAAGTGCTATTGGTATCCTACAGAAGCCTCTATCTGCTTTTATTCCACTAAATTTTCCTTCAACCCCCAAATTTGATAGCCATCATATATCTGCCATGTTTCTCAGAATCAGGTATTACTCATATCCTAATTAAGATTATAAAATGAGATGCATAAATACTTCTAATTACAATCATTTGGAAATAGATGCAGTAAGCATTCAGGAACATAATCTGTTAGGTGCTGAAGTGCATAATGATGGTAAACAAATGTGATGGGTAGAGGATGATAAAAAAGGTGCTATAAAAGAATTTAAATGCAAGTAACACCCACTCTTCCCTTTACAAACATTCTGTGGATATTCCCAGAAAGATGAATACCATGCAGAAATGCAGATAATACATTGACGTTTTATTGGTGACCGCCTGTCGAAATGTTCCTTATTCTGGTAAATCAGCTCTACAAACAGTGGAAAACCCAATATAAAGAATAGATTGAGTACATGTTGGCTCAGTCTTTTCTGGCCACAGTCCAGCATTCCCACACACTAAAGCAACTCCCGCTGTGCACAGCCGAAAAACTTAGCTTAGTGCAACACTTCCGTGCCGGCCCCGCCCTTAGGTAGCTCGCTCTTCGATTGGCTGTGCCGGAGGAGGGCGTTAACCCGGTTAGGCAGGATGTCACGTGTGGGACTGGACTGGGAAAACAGAAGGCGCTGGAGTTGCGGCCGCCACCTTGAACACCCTGGTGGGCGCTGGCGGGATCATGCCGTACGTTCTCATCAGCACTCAGATCCGCATGGTGAGCGATTCGGGTCTGGGGCTGCAAAGTGAGGGGAGAGAAAAGAACGCGAGAGATCAAGCATGTAGTTATTTTTGGAATGGTGAACTTTTCCTGATTAGCTCCCATTCCCCCCCCCCCCCATCAAGAAACCCTGCGTCTGTCTGTGTGTGTGTGTGAGAGAGAGAGACAGAGACAGAGACTTGCCTGACTGAAATATACGGACATCCACTTCTTTCCTTGGTCATATGTTTGGATACATTTTGGTCTAACCCCCTTCATGCCTGGCTTAAGTACTAGAGTAGAGACTTGGGGGGGGGTGTGTGATTAAATATCTGAAGTCACTTTGTAATTAGGATGCAGTTCTGCAGCTGGATATTGTTTTCTTTTCTCATTTGCCATTTGCTTGGTTGTGCAGATCCATGAACGCCATTCATAGCAATAGATTCCCGATGCTGCTCCTTCAGTGTTGGCAGGATCCACCTGTAACTGCTTCTAGAGCAGTGCCTTTCCCAACGTGATGCCTTCTAGATGTGTAGAGGCTGCAGCTTCCAGAAATGGAATTGGCTGGAATTTTTGGAAGTGATTATCTCAACACCTCTGGTGGCCATGAGTTTTGGGGAAGATTGCTCTAGAAAGTGTCAAGAGTTGCAATTTCTGGGTTGATTAATCTCTTTCTTGAAGGAAAAAGGATCAAAAGTCACTGTGCCTTTTGCACAGTGCTTATGTGTTTTTGGATACACTTTTGTGGCTCACAGCCATTTCGTGAAATCATAGATCTGACTGGATTATGACACAATTATATGGCAATACATTTGTTAGATTTGCCACTGTGTGAACCTATCCATTTTTTCTGGAAAACAAGAATCTCTGATCATAATGGATTTTACTTTTACGTACATTTCAGATGTGACTGGCCATTCTTATATAGATAATCTGATCAGTATAGTGATACATGGGGGGGAAAAACTACGTATCCAGGAATTTTAACCTTACAGGTATGCAGAAAATTGATGGTCAGTTACATCTTCTGGTTACTTACAGGTTAGTTTGGAGACAGGGATACAGAGGCTGTGGAGATTCATCATCCCATTCTTAGGAGAAAATTCCTAAGCTAAACAAGCAAAGCCCTTTTTCTCCAGTGCATGCATGGTATAGGTAATCTTTTTTCAAACTTGGAAAATTTAAGCTGTGTGGACTTCAGTTCCCCAAATTCCTCAAACAGCATCCACAGGCATAAATGATGTGTCAACACCCTTCAGGGACCCTGCATTGCCTTTTAAAAATATGCACAAAAACTGAATTTCTGTGGATTTTCAGCAAACTAGAAACCAATAAAGAGAGAAAGTGAAATAGATGCATTAAGTTTCTTGTTCGTGTCCATCTAACACTTTCCTCCTTTTCTGGCAATAAGCTGAATGTTGAGCAATTATATTTATATCCACTACAATACTCAGCTACTGATAATAACTTTTTTCAAAGAAGATGATGCTCTCAATTGCAAGAAGTCCTTTCCCTGCTATAGAGGGATCTGTGCCAGCCAACTCTGAATAATGGTTTGAAATGTATGGAAAAACCCCTAAGTTTGATTGAAAACATTTCATGTTGTCTCATGTTCAGCCTGTAGGGGGAGCTATAACAATGTGTAATTTTATGTACCTGTGTAGCCTTGCACACAAATAACTAGACTTGGAATAACTTCATTGTCACTTGAAATGTACACTAATTGGCATATATTAAAATGAAATCTTGTTGCATACAACTCTCAAAGGGGCCAATAGATATTACATAAATATGACAAAAATATAAATAAATAAATAAAAATTATGCATATACCCACATATATGATACATAGCTCTAAGTAGGTAAAAGTAACTACCATATTGTTGCTAATCTTTTGCCAATGATTTTACTTTGATTTTATGTACAGAAAAAACCATTCCTTGGGTCCTAAACATGAAGTCTTGTGGTTCAGAAATTAAAATAACTCTTTAAAAAGATGGACTGTCAGGCGCCTGAATTTTGATCATGTGATTGCAGGGGCACTGCAAGAGCCATAACCTCAAGGACTGGTCATAACTACCATTTGTTTAGTGCTTCTATGGTTCTGTGCAAAAGTTACCTGAAATTGTTTCATGAAAATTTGACAACAAACTTGTTGATTTTTATGGGTATGATTTTTAGGACATTTGTGGAATATGTAGGTATTAAGGTAGGAATGGGAAGATTTTGCCCCCAACAGGCTCCCACCCTTGTCATCATTTAGAGTGATAAAAACAAAATTGCAATCATCAATTCATACGTTTTTTTATTTATTTATCAAATTTAGAACCTGCCTATTTCCCACACAGAGGGACTCTGGGCTGTGGGCAAATAAAATATTAAAACATAAAAACTACTGTATTTTTAGGACTATAAGACACACCAAGATTTTGAAGAGGTAAGTAAGAAAAAAAAAGCTTTTGTCCTCCCCAGCCCCCAGGTGCACTCTGCAGGCTTCAGCAGGGTTGGGAGAAGGCCATTTTTTACCAAAATGGGGACATTTTCCCTTCCCCCAGTCCTGCTGAAGCCTGCAGAGTGCTTCTGGAGGTGGGGGAAGGCAAAAACGCCCCCGTTTTGATGAAAAATGGCCCGTTTTTCACAAAAATGGGATACGGGAGTGTGGCTCCGGGAAGCCAAAAATGGCTGTTTTTGGTATATAAGCTGCACCAATATTTCCAAGCTCTTTTTTGAGGGGAGAGTTGTGTCTTATACTCCAAAAAATACAGTATATAAAAATGCCCCCAACAGGCTCCCACCCTTGTCATCATTTAGAGTGATAAAAACAAAATTGTAACCATCAATTCGGGTGCCAAATGGTAATGTGATCTTAAAGTGTTAGTAAACTGCATACACATTGCTGTCCTTTCATTTATTTACCAAATACATTCATATTTATGTTCCCATCTATGTACCAGATGGAGCCCCAGGTCTTATTTTAATAACTAGACAAATTCCTCTAGGTAAAGTCAACTGATCAGACATCTTGATTCTAAAACATAATGGGTGAGCTTAATACACTGAGATCAGAATTTCCATCAAATTGGGTGGTAATGGAGACCTTTGGCAAATATATTGGAAGATGCTCTCATGTTCTGAATAATGTCTGACTAATGTATTGTAGCATTAAAACTGCTCCATTCACCTATTTTTAACAGGTCTATGCATTCGTGTATATACTGTATGTGTGTGTGTACACACCAATAATGAAAACCTTTGTTATATAACAGATATGTTGATTTGAGTTGCATTGATTTTCCTTTTCAATCTTATACTGAACTTGGAATGAAAAAGCTAAATAATGCTTGTGATAGAATACCTTGTTTCTTTCTCTTGTCTACTTTCAATACTTTAAGTAGTAGAATGTCAGTAATTAATTATTTTATATAGAGTTACGATGGCTCAGTGATATAAATATGCTGTAGATGGTCTTTGCTCTGATGGTTCGAGTCCTTGCAGTGCGTGGTGCAATGAGCTTCCATCACTGGCTTGGGCTTCTGCCAACCTAACAACTTGAAAGCATGCTAATGCAAATAGATAAATAGGTACCACTTTGGTGGGAAAATAATGGTATTTTGTACAGTTGTATGAAATCAGCCTGTGTTGGACCTTCCCCAATGCAACTCCTGAATGCAAGGTGACATCAGTGAAGGGAGAAACCCCAGATGTAAGAATGCTGTTGAACCTTTCTGGGTGTGGAGCTAGTCCGCCCTGTGGTGCACTCTGGATTGTGTGCGAGTATGAACTGAACAGACTAGCAATTGTCAGCAGTCGAACAACTACTTTGTATTAACACTATGGTCTCCTGGTAATGTAACATTGTCATACGTTAAATAAATAAATAAATAAACATTTTATATAATAAATGTCACTATACTGAAATAATACAATGAAATATATGAAATGTTACAACAATAAAAAGGAAAAAATAAGATGCATTGTAGTAAATTTGAATATACTAATATGGGCAAGTGTGCAAAGCTGAGGGGTAATATGCCCGTCTCAACCTGAGGACAAAAGTATAGTATTGGAGATTTTCATAAACCATTTTGAACTGTGGTTTCTGTCAAGTATCATTACCTGGTGTTCAAATTTTGCAAATAGATAAGAGGTATAATGAAATAATGGGATGGTGCTAATACAGAAGTGGTCATTTCTCTCTGCAGGAAGTTGGACCTACAATGGTTGGTGATGAACATTCAGATCCCAACTTGATGAACTATCTAGGGGCCATTAAAAGAAACATGTTGGGAAATCATTTGTAAGTATTCCTCTTTTTGCTTCTTGCTTACAAGTTTGTTCATCTGTTGTTTGTTCATCTGTAATTTTGACAACACAAGAAAGCTTCCCCAAATCTGGTGCCCAGTTGGGTGGAAACCTTTTATTAACAAACTATATATTCCTAGCCATAACTTTTTTGTCATCTTTATTCCTTTACTCTGGAAAATTATGTGCATTCTTCAGGATGGATGGATAATTCTGATGCATCTAAGATATTTCTTAAGCTTTTCATTCATCATTTAAATTAAAGCCCAAAAGACAGGAATACTAGAATATTATTTACTCTAATGATATGTCAGAGAAAATTTCATCCAGGTGCAGTGACCTAGCCATTTCCCTTCAGTTCTTTTCTTGCTTCAAACCCCATCATTACTCCAGATTGGGGCTGTCTTCCAACTTAATACTTTGGCCTCCAGCCAGTTTTATGCCATCTGTTTACTCCACTTTTATGCAACTTTAGAGATTGAAGTGCAAAATGTTATCCCTTGAGATATCATAAATAAATGTGAACATAAATATACATCTTCTTAAAGTTACAATATAGTTGTTTTGGCTTAAGACATCGTGTTTAACCCAGGCATTGTGATTTATAAAATATTAACTAATACAATAGTTCAACTCAGCCAGTTGTTCTTTATTGAATGAACTATGGATGAAACAAAGACTGGCTTACTATAATATGTAAATTGGATTCGTTTTCAAGGCACTATTTATTTCTGAAGATCTAGGGAAAAAATGTAAAATCAGTTGAAAGCAATGTTTTAGGATTGAAGGTGGGAAATAAGGAGTGTTCTCCTTTCCTATTAACTTTTCTCCACAGGTATTAGAAATAAAATATGAAGAAAAGAAATCACAAGCATATTTACTTATGAAGTTCAAAAGCATGCTATTTTATAAGTCATTCTAAGCTTTTCATCATGTTGAGTTTTGCATCTTTTGACTTTCTATTGTTAGTGATTTCAGAGCTTTTACATGCAAGCAAGCTTAAAAGCTCAAGTGTGGAGTTGATGTGTAAATAATGATAGGTCTTACTTTGAAGATGGCTCTTCTTTTTGGAAGATTGTCAGATGAATTATCTCTTTGAGGGTATCTGCTCTTTGAAAGGTTGTGCAGACCAGTGGAAGGGCAAAGGGCCACTAATATACCCCTGGATAGCAGTTTAAATAGGCCCATGGGGTTCCCCCCCCCCCAGCAACTGCAGCAAAATATGTTCTATTTTAATGTTAAGATCTTTTATTTATTTATCAAATTTAAAATCTGCCTATTTCCCACACAGAGGGACTCTGGGCTGTGGGCAAATAAAACATAAAAACTACTTAATTCATTAAATTAATTAAACTACTTAATTTAATTAATTAACTAAAACATAAAAACTACTGTATTTTTCGGACTATAAGACGCACCAAGATTTTGAAGAGGTAAGTAAAAAAAAAAAAGTTTTTGTCCTCCCCAGCCCCCAGGAGCACTCTGCAGGCTTCAGCAGAGTTGGGGGAAGGCAAAAGCGCCCCATTTTTCACCAAAACGGGGACATTTTCCCTTCCTCCAGCCCTGCTGAAGCCTGAAAAATACTTCTGGGGGGTGGGGGAAGGCAAAAACACCCCGGTTTTGATAAAAAATGGCCCGTTTTTCACAAAAATGTGATGCAGCGGCGTGGCTTTGGGAAGCCAAAAAATGGCTGTGTTTGGTGTATAAGACACACCAATATTTCCATGCTCTTTTAGGTGGAGAAGGTGTGTCTTACACTCCAAAAAATATGGTATATATAAATGATAGAAGCGGCAAAGGTTGTCAGAATTCAGAAATAAAAGACGAAGAGGGGAAAGCCCTTCAAAGGGTTAACCAGCCTCACAGTTGCATGCTGCTCAATGAGCCCCAAGCAAAATGGCAGAACCAGGCCTTTAGGCATTTTTTTAAAAGCCAGGAATGTGGGGGCCCTCCTCACCTCTTGGGGAGCAAGTTATGGATAATGGATAATAAAGTTATGGAAAATTATGGATATTGGAAAATTAGCATAAGCCTGCTTTAAATAAATTATGCTTTTTTCTTGGCTTATATAAGGAATTCCTCTTGAGCGCTTCTTCCAAATCTTATCATCAAATAGCTTTTCCTCTGCAGCTTTTGCAAAGGTCTTTGGCTCATGAGTTTTTAAATACTATTCAATTTCTCAACAATGCCAAAAATAGTGTCATACCTTAAGCTTTGTCTTTTCATATTTGGGTGCAACATCATGATGCCCATGCAAAAAGTGCAGGCTATGTGCTCCAATGACACAATGTTTTTTTGTCATTCCCACCCTTGCCATTCATATGCCTCTGCTATACTTGTTCTCCTTTCCCTTCTTGCCTTGCAGTGGTGACTGCCTCCTTTTTGACATAATTAAAAGAGGAGAAATGAACAGAGCCTCAGGGAGATCTAACAATTGTGGCTGCAAACTCTGCATTTTAAAAATACTAGTCAGAAGGGTCAGTTCACAGATGAAAATAGAAATACAAATCCAATAAAGCCGTATAAAATATCAAAGCAACTTAGGAATTGAGCTGTATTTGTAACAATGCCATAACATTTAAATCTCTTATAAACAATATTATAAATAATCTGTACTTGACTTATTTGTTTATTGGGACAAAGTATATAAAATGGGCAAGCTTTTAATTCCCCAGAAATCTTTATAAGAGTTTGTGAATAAAGCTGTCTCTAGACTGCATTGCTACTTTCCAAAACTTGTATTATCAAGCTTTGAAAAATGTAGGGCATCAAAGACCCAGAAAATTAACCTTAAACTTTGATCAACATATTAAATTTCTGTTTAGCCTCCTTTACTTTCTAGTTTTATAACTTTGTTCTTGGAACAGTAACATTCAATTTACATTCTCATCAATATGGAAACAAATGATTTGAAATTTAAAACAATATGTCCATTTTTTATGTCTTGTTTACAACAGCTGGGAATATTATGTGAATGATGCTCCACGGATCGTCTTGGACAAGCTGGAGAAGTGTGGTTATCGAGTGATCAGCATGACAGGAGTGGGGCAGACACTGGTGTGGTGTCTTCACAAAGAAATGGCAGAGAATTGTGCTTTTCTTCCTTCCCAAAACATTGCTGTAAACCACCCAGCATAAGCTTGAGATTGCATTGCTGATCTTCGGGCATTTTGAAATGAGACTTTTATCAAAACCTGGCTTTAAAATCATAAGCACTGCTACATCATCATAAGAAGCATCATTCTAAGAAGCTTCATGGCTCCGGAGTTGGAAATTTCCTGAGATGATTAATCCTTGTTAAGCATTATTTCAGGTGCCAATCTGAAACTGGCAGTATTAACTGTTATCTCCACTTTATTGAACGACGACAACTTGGCATTAAATCCACTATATCAGTAACAGTCTCAGGTTAGATCAGTTGTGACATAGCAGAGAATTTATGCTCATGCATAAAACAGCTGTTAATATTGATAGGGACATTATCATACAAATTTACCTCTATAAATTACATGATGTGCTTAAAGTATACTACAAGGTCCCCATTCAAGAGTGTGACTAGGATCTTGAGATTGTGATATGTGGTTTTTCTATTATCACTACGTGGTATGTATTAAAATAGTAGAAAAGATTCTTTAAATAGTTCCGTATAGTTTTTAATTGTACCAATTTGCTTTTTCATTGTTGGGATTATTTACACTATGTCTGCTGAAAACCATTCCTAAGTAGTTCATAAAATAGTAATAAAAAAATAGTAAAAGCAATCTAACGTATCTCAAACTGTTTGTTACCAGGCAGTTACAGGCATCAAAGCCTGTAACATACCAATTGACAATCTGGAGCAAAAGTCTGAAATGATGAGTATCCCGAAGGGTACACTAATATATACAACTTGTATATTGGCAGGTAATGGGACTAATACACTGATCTAATGCAGCATTTCTCCCTCACTCAAGGAGCTGTGTTAGTTTCACATAGTTTTATTGCTGAACCAGAAGTGCCAAATAATTAACCCTCTTTGTAACAATTTATTTTTGTTTACATTGCATTGTCAATACTGATCGGTGGTTCAATTTCCTTGTGATGTAGGTGGCTACGAATGACCACCAGTATTATTTAGAGTCCTAGATGAGATCATAATTTAGCCATGAAATTGAGCTTGTAAACTTGTAACTAACTTTCAACCAAATGAATTTCACAGATTTATTACAAAGATAAAAATAAGGTAACTATAGAACTCTTTTAAACAAAAGGGTATGTTATATCTATGTGGATTTATAAAGAATAAGTTAGAGAAGTACAATGATCTTTTAAAGTCAGATTTGCCATGAGTTGCGATGAAGAGAAAATGTTTTCTATCATAGGAAATGTGTTGTAGAGGTCATATTGGTTCAATGAGTCGGGAAACATGGTGATGAACAAGGAAGGATATGGATTTTGAAAAGGCAGATTTGCCACTGCTATATAAATTCCAGATGTTAGGGTAATTTAACACTGAAAAACTTGAAATAGATTTTCACTTTATATATCCCCTTAATTGGGGTGATCAGTTATTCTTCCAAGAAATCTACAGTAGTTTTGAAGTTTTTCCTTCAACAGTTTTTATTGGTTTAGGAATTATAAGCCAAAATGCATGATAATGCCATTTCTCCTTCTACTATGTACAAGACTCTTCTTCATCTTCCTGTTTCATCTTTTCAATTAGCTTCTGCCTCTCAGAAGCTTGCCGCATACGCATCATCACAAGGCTTTCATAATCCCTCTCAGAAACCACTGAGTCCTGTGGAAAGAAGTGACCGCAGTCAGATTCAAAGCTCCATTAGGTCTTTCTTATTCTGGATGAACTATTGAAAGCATCACCATCACCATACAAGAGTACCTTTCAAATGTCTATTGAAATACAGAATTTACAGTTAACATAAATATAATACTACTAATTATTGTATACTGGCAATTTAATTGGCTCTCAGGCATTTTCAGATTTTAGATTTTATAGATATTAAATTATATAGATTTTATAGATATTAAAATTACTCTTTACCAGCAAAACAAACTTTGCACAGTACATAGCATTATTCATCAGGCTGGAAAGTGCTAAAAAGAAAAAAATGTTTTATATCCCAATATGCTTAATACTCATACAAATTATTCAAAATTAAGTAGCTTAAGATCCCACATATTAAAACGTGCCTTAGAATAAATTATAATAGATTATGTTCTAAAAATTCTATGTACAAGGTATATTTCTTTTTAGAAAAGCTTATAGTTGGTTTAAAGAATAGTGGTTTATTAAAGCATTGTATTTCTTGAATGTACGGTCCTTGATCTACTACACTTCTTCAGCAACCATTTGAAGTTAAGCATTGAAGTTAAGCTATAACCCTTGCTCAAGAGTTTTGCCATCCCAGAACCCCCATGGTCATTTGAGCACTGGGCAACCTGTTCACATTTAGAACTGGTTGCCAAGAATCAACTGATCACCGTTTGAAATCTTTCTTGCCAGCTTCCTCAGAAAGAGCCTCCCAACCTGTGCTGCTCCTCTCAGACACCATCCCTGTCCCCACCTACACAGCAGCTCTTGCACACTCCTTGATCCATGAGGTGCTTCTCATGTACCCTGTCTGACTCGTGGAACTTCTCATGCACCCATTTTCCCTGAGCAGCCTCTCTTGCACATCTCCTCACTTCCTCCCCCAACCAGCAGAAACCACTTACCTGCCTGCTGATTTGGAACTTGCAGAGTCCCCCACTAATTTTGGGTGTAGGAAGCTGGCAAGAAGTTGCCTTGCCTAAACTGTGGGAATCAGTTAAAATCAGCAACTGATACTGCAGGGATTGCGGTCACTAAGCGATGTAGTCACATTTTAGGACTGTATTGCTTGGCAATGGAAATTTCAGTCTCAATTACCGTCATAAGTCAAGACCAACCTGTGTGTATGCCTCTAACTATGAAAAGTTTTTGGAGGATTTCTGAGGGAGCTATAGAAAAGAAATGCCTAGCTGAGAGGCCAATGCAACAGGAAACTATAATCTAAAATTAGTGCTTCTCAAGCCTTTGTGGCTTTTAAGGCGTGTGGACTTCCAACTCCTAGAACTAATGTTCATACATCTTAATACTGCTAAAGTTGAGCAAGACAAATTACCCATACAAACTTTAGCACATTTGGAAATGGTGGGATAGGAGAGCCAAGGCTATATTCTGCTTCTTTCCAGAGAAGATTTTGGAGACACCCTGTAGTTATAGAGCCAGTTTGGTCTAGTGGTTAAAGCACCAGGTTAGACACCGGAGGACTGTGAGTTCTAATCCTTCTTTAGGCATAAAAACTGGCTGTGTGACATCTTTCTCTCTCTCACACACACACACATACCTCTCACAGGGTGGTTGTGGTGGAAAAATAGGAGTAGAAAGGTGTACAAAGTATGTATGCCATCCTAAGTTACAGATAATAATGGTGGAATGTAAATAAAATAAATACAAGGGAATGGAATCTTTCTTGGCAAACCTACACCACTGCATTTCACAAAATTAGGATACCAGGCACACCCTCGTTAAGACTATAAAAAAAACCAACAAAAATGAAAACAAGTTTGAACAATCTAATCTGCTCTAATCCACAAAAAGGACTTTGGTTTTCCTTTTAGACTGGGTCTGGAGTGTGGTACAAAGGAAGTGCCATTGAACAAACGGAATGGATAAAAAAAGGGGGGGAAATGCCAAAATAGGTCCAAAAAGGCTATCTAAAGCAATTCACCTTAAAACTCATATATTTATTTAAAATGCTGTGAGATTGTATACTTATTTTGCTTTAACCTTGCTAGCATTTTAGAAATGTCACACTGGCATAAACATCTTACATTTAGATTAGTTTTCTTCTATGATGGAACACATTACCAAAGGAAATAGGATTGACAGATTAAATCATATATTTTTAGGATTAAGAAGATTAAGGCAGGGAGCCTAACATAACATATTAATAATGATTTAAATGATACTTTGCAAGCAGTGATTTTCTCAGTATCAGATGCTATGCAAAACACAGCAATAAATGGCTATCACATATTGTCCAGAGGCATCTACCTGTCCTTTGTTGGAGAGTTAAGCTGACCTAAATCTTTAAAGATAGGTAAAGTTCTTAATTGTCTCATCATATAGACATGTTACATAAGCAAAAGTATACCTATATAGTGTTGTAAGATTTTTTTTTAATTATCTGGCCAATTAGATTAGTTGGAAAACTCTACACAGAGAAGCAATTGGATTGTATCAGTTCCCAATTTGCTCATATGGACTTGTAAGAAAGTATTGTTATAGAAATTATAAAGTGAAGAAGTCCGAGTAGGCTTGTAGGATTCTACATCTCTCACTAATTGAATTATAGGTTTCAGAATGTTGATTTTATTGTTTCATTGAATATTAAATATGATGTAGGAAATCTTAATGCAGGAACATTATTTCTAAGATTGAAAGATAGTACAATTTATCTTGTTATCTAAAGAAGCAGCTATAATATTCATATAAAGAGAAACTTTATATGAATATTTATAACAGCCATTTTAGCTATGATAAATGAAAGTGATCTGATATTCATTTGTTAAATTTAATGTACTGAATCCTCTGCTCCTACAGCTATTAGGAAACTGCATTAGTGCTTCCAATTATACTGCAGTAACATGAAGTTTCTCCAGGCTCCAAGGAAATTAGACCTTTATACACAACACTATACTGCAGACACCCCTGATTTTACTTTAACTAGCACAGCAAGTTTCATAGATAAGCAGGAACTGAAACAGACTTCAGGGTACCTCTACCCAAATATCAGGTAGTATATCATACTGACTCACCATTAGGATGTCTGGAAAAATATGTCTTTGCATAGGTTAATGAAGGCAAGAGTGATTACAGGAACAGAAAAATAAATTAGAATTTATCTTCTTGATAGGTCAACAATGTTGATTCAAGTCTTATTTTGATTCATGTTGACAATAAAAGAAGAATGAAAAAATAACTTTTTAGGAAAATAAATTAATATACTTACAAAAAGGGTAATATTAAAAACAGCCATGAAACCAGAGGAAAGGAAATACTTGGGGGAAACAGTTGAAAAATTGTTACAGAATCTACAAAAAATTGCTTTTTAATTCCACAAAGATAAGATCAAGTTCAACGGAGAAGCAAAAGCATTAGACAAAAACACAGGCAAAGACAATTTAAAATATCTCAGGCCATAATTTTTTTCCTAACCATTTGCCATGTTGTTTCTGATGTAAGTCCTCAGCACTAGAATTCTGTGTTTTATTGCACCATCCTCATTTCAATAGAGGGGAGGGGAAGGGAGGAAGAGACATTCTATTTGAAACCATATGTGGAATTACATAAATCTCTTGAATTAATGGCTTGGCCAACAGAACTAAATTTGCTAGATCCTTTTTTATTTCCGTATCTGTACCTTCTTCCATTAACACTCCTGAAGAATAAAAATCTGTGGTTCCAAGATTCCACAGAAGCTCTAGTTTCTCTTGAGGCAAAGTAATGTGGGCTGAGGCTTCAGAGTCATTCACACCTATTTCCTGCAACCTAGGCAATTAGGTAATAGTATAAATCCCAGTTTCTGATGTCACTGAGTCAGCAAGGGCTTGGCATAGTACACACACAAAGGAATTACCACCCACAGAACATATGAGTGGCTGAGCGAGAAGTGAAAAGTACGTGCTGAAGAAAAGGTGCTTGAAACAAAGAAATCTGAAAATATGCTATGATCTTTCAACAACTGCCAAGGAATAAAACCACAATGTGCACTGAACTGGATGGGCTTCCTTCTATGCTTCCCACTTGGCTGCTTCTCTATTGGTCCATCTCACTGTAAGTATTAATTCTAAATTTTGTTTTGTTTTAACGCTCTAAGCCACAATTACTTCATTTATAAATGTTTCGGTTATTTTTGCTAATAGATGCCTGTCTCTCGGGGGGCCATAGAGAACTTTTTCACAGTAGGAAATTGAATGCTTTTCATTATTGTGATAGTTCAACTCTGCGATCCAGGTGTAGCGTTCTACAAGTATTTATACTTTCATTCAAATTCGATATATCAGCACAGTTTGGAAGCCAAGATACAGAACAACTTCCCATACTAAAGATGGGTAATGTAGGGATGGCAGTCCACAAATAAGAAACAATGCAAATTTCCATATCTTCCACATCTGCCTAGTTACTATATACAATGGGCATCATCTGGTCCTTGTGAATGAAGACTGAAAAGCAGAACACGGGGAAGACAGCTTACTGATAGGTCGATCAAATGAAGCAAGCCCAGGTTAGGTATTAGTTCTTGACCCAAATAGGAAATGTGAATAAATGCAAAAGGCCTGATGAGAAAAACAAGTAAAGCTATGGCCGAAATAAGCAATGAAAGAGGAAATAAGAATTGAATTGAGTGTAAGGAAGTGAAAAGAGGCAGATATTTACTGAAAGCTGTGGAAGAGAGAGAGAGCATCGAAACTGGAATAATAGGAGGAGGGTTGGATGTTGAATAGGGGAGATATAATCTAATGAAACAGAAAGATGACGCAAACTAATGCAAAAGGATCCATACCAACAGGGTATAAACTGTGGAATAAGCTCACGCCCAAAGAATGCCATACTTTTTACCGCTGCAGGTAGAATTTAAAGCTATGATGTTTATCTAAAGTTTGTAAGGGCTGGACCAACTATAGTATAAATATCTAGCTAGATGGCAGCAGCTAGTCAATTAAGTAGAGTTGAACCTAGTTAAAATTAGATGAGAGACTGTCAGGTTGAATAGGGCTGAACAGGAAAGTAGGAAAATAACCCAGAAGAAATTAATAGCATATCACTTTTGTACTGTTGCTAGGAAAACTACATAGATATATCCAAGAAATCACAAAGAATCAAGTTTGACTTAGAGGCACCATGGTTCAGTGGTTTTAAGAATAATGCTGGAGGTGGTGTCTGTTCCAATGGTTCGAATCCTAGCGTTATGGGGTGAGCTCCTGTCACTTGCCTCAGCTTCTGATCACCTAGCAGTTTGAAAGCAAGTTATATGCAAGTAGATAAATAGGTACCACTTCAGTGGGGAGATGAGCTGGTGCTTTTGTGGCCCGCCACCAGCCAGCAGAGTTGGCAGCAGATTCAGACAGGGAGGAGGTTGGGGAGGAACATGGGCCACTCCTGGAGTCTGGGGAAGGCTCTGATGAATGCTCTGCATCGGAGGCAGAGATGGGGCCAGGCCGTCTGACAGTTATTAGCTACCTTTGGAGTCAGACATCAGTGAGGCAGATGAACAGCTGGAGCTTGTTCCCAGTGTGCGCAGGTGCAGAGTTGCCAGACAAAGGGAACAGCTAAGGAACAAGGGTCGACTTGGGAGTAAGGCCACAGGTGGATGGTGAATGGCTCCTCCCATAGGGAATAAAAGTGGAGAAAAAGGAGAGGGGTGTTTGCAGAAGATAATTAATCCATTCCTGCATTCTTGCCAAATGTTGCAGCATCTGAAAGATATCGGCCTGGCCATTCTCCAAGCCTGATAAAGGTCGGCAATTGTGAACTATCTTGAAAGACTGGGAGAGAAAAGACTTTGCTAGAGAGGAATTCACGGTAAATTAAATAAAAGGGGTTTATCGGGATGAGGGCTTTGCAATGGTGGGTTCCTACCGGTTCGGACCAGTTTGGCCGAACCAGTAGTGATTTGGCAGCCTGGGTCGCGGGAACTGGCAGCGCCCCAGGCCTGCCACACCCCCGAACTGGTTCTCCAGGCGGTGCCATAGGCAGCACCATCTTGTTTTTCGCTTCTGCACATGCACAGAACAATTTTTACTGCACACAAGCAAACTAGCAAGTGCCTGCTGAAACCCATCCCTCAAGCTTCGTGCTGCTGGGAAAACCTAGGTCAGAATAGGTGCTTCATGCAGGCTATCAGATTCCTACAGGCTCTGAACTTTCCCGGTTGCAATGTCTGTTTATGAGGCAGCTCCAGTAGAGGGAGGGGCGCCTTGGATGATCCTGCAGGAGGAGCAGCTTTCTTTCTGGTGTGAAGCCAGCTTGCTCTCCTGTGGCGCATCTTGAGAAACATGAGAGCGTGTACCACAACACAGTTAGTAAACTGGCAGCCAAACTACTACTCCTGGCTAATGTAACAACACAACACAACAACAACAACAACCACAAGCTTGACTTGAAAGCGCCTCTATTGTACTTCTGTAAATTTGGACTTTGAATAAGCATTCAGGGGTATAAAAAATAAAAGAATCTGGAAAGTATAAATTGTAAATATTTTGTAGGTCTTGTACTGTGTTTAGATATAAAGCTGTACCAAATAAAAATACTAATAATAAAACTTTTAATTCTGAGATAAATTTCTGTTTAAGATGGAGATGCATTTTCTTACATTTGGGCTTTGATATCAGAAACTACATTTACTCAGTATTTTTCTCAAAACCTTAAGTTACTTGGAGGGTTGCAGAACTCTAGCAATGAGATTTATTGTGAAAATTACTTTTGCGGCATTCCGTACACATTCTTTTCTTTAAGAATGCAAGCAAATCCTAACTTTGAATACACATACCTGCTTGTTAATGTCTCTTTTCTTCTTCTAGCAAACAAGAAAGAAGTTCTCTACTCCAGGAGCCTCAATTTACCTGAAGACCATTGATTAGTTAGCAAACATCACTTTATTGCTTCTCTCAACATGGACACATGGCGGAGAGGATCTATTAGGTCCTCAGGTTTCTTCAAGCGGCTCTCATTCAGAAGGAACAAGAAATTGGGCAACCAGACTATTATCTTGAACCAGAACAGCCAAACATTAGACTCCAATGAACACTACGACAAAAAGAGATTCCTAAGAAATTTCAAAGACAAGCAAGACTATTTTCCATGTCAAAGTGAACAAAATCTTACCACTAAAACACAACCACCTCCCAAACCACCTCGCTTATATCTGGACACTGCCAGCTGCCCCAATATAATAGACCACAGAGAATCTTCCTCTACAGATATATCCTTTTCAAGCACTTCCTGCCATTTTCATAAGGCTACTCAAACACAACCTGATCTATTATACAAAGCCCAAACCATGAACTCTGAAACACTCTCCAGGAACAGTAAGCCTCCTTTTGATCCATCAGACCCCTTCCTTTCCTTCACACTAGATTTGGGACCCTCACTCCTGGATGATGTTTTACAAACACTCAGAAAACAGAATTTACTATTAAATTAGCTGGAATTCTCACTAAAACCAAGAAATTAATCATACTGACTCATCTGATTCATGGACTAAGTTATTTTTGGTTCTTTTTAAAATATTTTTCCCCAAAGAAGGTTAGAAGTTGCTATTAAGTAAATTATGTTTTCTATCTCATTTTGATAAGCAGGCAATATACTTGCTATATTTAATCAATCAGAAATTCTAGACAGTATGAGTATGTGTAAGAAGATGATGGTTTTGGCTGGGAACGCTGCATCTCTGGATTTGTTTGGGTAAAATAATCTTAAATATCTCAGAACTCAAATAGTTATAAATAAGGTTTTGATAGGACACAGGAGGCAAGAGTCCTGATCTACTAATAATGAAATGGGAACTCTAAATATGAAATTTATCTTCTTTTGTGCCAGTAATGAATTTTTATAATTTCTTCCTTCAATTTGGAGGAACTGATTGGGAGAATTAATAATTGCAATTACATCATACTATGAATATAAAATGTGAATGCATATGCTATTCTTTATTAAACCAATTTGCTTTATTTCCTTTGCACATTTTTTAAATTTCCAGTGACCAGTATTCATTTAATAGATAAATGGGGAAAGTCTTAGTATTACCCTTTCTAGCCTGGCATCTTCAAAATTATTTGGTTCTACTAGTTTCAACTAATTTGATCATTGCTGTGATGAAACACATCTGAAAGATGTTAAATTGGGGGGGAAAGGTTATCCTACTATATGAAGTACTGTATCTTCTACTAGCAATCATTTGCAGACATCATTGTGGCTTATAGTAACATCAATTAAAGAAGCAAACAGCTGGAATGAGGAAACCATAGTTTCAGCAAGGGACTTCATCCAAATTGGATCAGAATCCCACAGCCGTTTTGTTGCCAAATTAAAGCAGCTGCGTCAGGCAGATGCAAACATGACTAATGCTATTAATACTTCTGAATTCTGAACTCCACCTATTGCTTAAAACTGGATTGTGACATGAATACGTGATACAAGAAGGGCTTCCATTGTTTTTTCAACTTCAAGGTGATATATCAGTGTCAAAAATGAGCTTATGTTTACTTCCTCAGACTGAGAACAAATATAGCCAGACTTTGCAATTATCTCATTTTTCTAACACACACACACACAAATCAATAGTATTATATACTTCAAAGTATTGCCAACAAACAGGTTCAAACCACAAGATGTTCCCTCCTCGATGCATGAAAATGACAACATTTATACAATATAGGCCTATAATTGCCATCAAATTGATAAATCAACCCCATGGGTGACAAGAAAAAAGGAGGCACAAGAGAGGAATCTGTAGTAAAACTACCTCACAAAATCTAGAACAAGTAGTTGTAGGAAGGTACTTTCCCACTGGTTTCTTTGAGCAGTGTAACTGTAAAACATTTTCCTCTCATTAAAATTAAGGTAGAACAAACTGCTCCAGTTCCAAGCACAATGTAACTTGCATGCCCAGAAGAGGAATGACTTGGGGGCAAGTATTATTTTTAGCTACTGAGCTCTTTTAACATATTGCGTGGCATGTGTCATCACAATACTGTAAATCCATAGGGGATATTCACTTATTCCACCAAAATGATTACCATAAACATGACTAAATGTGGTTTACTACAAAACAAATCGATGACATCTGTTGCCCTTTTTTATTTTAATTTTTATTCTTTTTGCCATAATATACTTAACAGACTGAAAAAACGACCACAACATAAAAAAAGTGTAAATATAAAAAACAAAACCCAAACAAAGCAACACAAAAGGAAAAAAATATATGTATTAATATATCACAGGGCCCTTCAGATGTTCACTCATGCTCTAATCTCTTCAGAACTTGATTACGGTACTACATGTTCTACATGGAACTGCCCTTGAAGCTTCCACTGGTCCAGAATGCAACGATATGTGCAGTAATACCTTGATATACCCATGTAACACCTCTGCTTTTCAAGTTGCATTGGTTGCCATTTAGTTCTGGGTGTCATTCAAGGTGTAGTTACCTATACAATCCTATATATAACATAGTACCTGGTTATTATGTTATCTGTCACTCGTAGCATCTGCCCAGGCAACTCAATCCTGCAAAGCAGATGTGCTGAGTTCCTTCAATTAAAAAAAATCCTCTATCAGGATGCAGGAGGGACACCTCCCCTGTAGCAGCATCTGCCCTCTAGAACAAGATCCAGATGGCTCTGTTCTGTGATTGTTCAGAAGAGCCATGAAGACTCGGCTGTTTATCCAGGCCTTTGGCAAGAGACAGAAACCCCTCACTTAATTCCATCTGGTTAGTCACAGTTGCCACCTTTTAATCTTTAATGTTTTACTGATTTTATTGTAATCCATTAGTTGGAATATGTTAGCTATTTCTTCTGAAATTCTTGCAAAACTAATTCCTATCTGGATAATATTCTTCAATTGTCTGGAAAAATAAACAATAGGTATAGAATCTTTTCAGTTATTTTTTTTCAATTATTCTAATATAGATAATCCTTGATTTATGACCACAACTGAGCCCAAAATTTCTGTTGCTAAGCAAGGCAGTTGTTAAGTGAATTTTACCCCATTTTACAACCTTTTTGCCACAACTGTTAAGCAAGTCACTGCAGCTGTTAAGCAAATCATGCAGTTATTACGCAAATCTGACTTGGGGTTCCTGCAATGTTCGTAAGTATGAAAACTGGTCATAAGTCTCTTTTGTTCAGTGTCATTGTAACTTTGGTCACTAAATGAGAGGTCCACCTGTAATTTAGGGATTTCAGAAACTGCTTGCACATACAGTCCATACTATGTGATTAAAGGATATTTTAATTGAATGTAGGCAATTTTAAGTGAAGCCCGATCTTCCAAACTAACTCGGCACTGAACAGAGGCTTATCTCTTTAATTATTCTCAGTTGGTTCAGGTTCAAGATATTCCTTCAGGATAAAATACTGTTCTTTTAATCTAAAAATATACTGATATAAAATATACTTATTTCCACACAATGTGATTGTCTGGATTTGTTTTCTCATTTTGTCTCTCATAGTTGAGGTCTACCTATGATGTCAATTACAGGCCTCTCTCATCTTTTTAAGTGGGAGAAATTGCACTATTGGTGGAAATAAGTATATTT